AGAAGTGCCTTACGTGCAATAGTCGTTTAAATGTTCTGGAAATCTCACCCTTCTTCCAGAACGCGTCGTTTTAAGTTTATTTTCGGATACTGTCGAAGTATCTTCGTGTGTGTTGGTTGTCGGATGAGGTATTATTAGTGTCTGAGTCGTGTCGTTCGATTGTACCGAAGGAAAATCGACGTGGATAGGATTTCCTTCTAAATACGCTGCTTTTAAGCGATCGATGCTGATGCTATCGTTGGTTCCGTTCTTATCGACTATATAGTACTTAGATTCACGTTGAAGAACTTTGAAGGGTCCTTCGTATGCTGATTCGAATGGTCGTCGATGCGAGTCTCGACGAATGAAAACGTGTGTACTATATGGTAAGTCAGGTTGAACGAAAACATCAGTTGATTGAGGTCGAGTGGAAGCAGGTTTAACTGAACGCATTGCGTTTGTAAGCCTGTTCGTGTAGGAGGTTAGATCCATGTTCATCGAAGAGCACGAAGGATCCACGAATTCTCCTGGAAGTCGAAGTGTCGTTCCATAAACGAGTTGAGCCGCAGTGTATCCAATGTCAGCTTTCACTGCATTGCGGATACCTAGTAAGACGAGTGGAAGAGCGTCGGTCCATTGTGAAACGTTTGCAGCTGATAGCGAAGCTTTCAGTTGTCGGTGAAAACGTTCTACCAACCCGTTTGCTTGGGGATGGTAGGCGGTCGTTCGGAAGCGAGTGATTCCTAAAAGTGTGGTCAGACGACGGAAAAGATCAGATTCAAACTGACGTCCGCGGTCTGTAGTGATGGTTGAAGGGCAACCGAAGTTTGCTACCCATCGTTCGACGAATGTGCGGGCCACTGTTTCAGCAGTGCTGTCCTTGATAGGTACTGCTTCTGGCCATCGAGTGAAACGGTCTACGCAGGTTAAGAGATAAGAGTATCCATTTGAATCTGGTAAAGGTCCTACCAAATCCAGATGAACATGGTCGAAACGAGCATCGGGAGTTTTAAACGAGCCTAAGGGACATTTATTGTGTCTGATAACCTTAGATTTTTGGCAGCTTACACAGGAGCGTGCCCACTCCCTCACGTCTTTATTCATGCCAGGCCAGCAAAATCGTTCTGCTATAAGCTTGATGGTTGCACGAACACCTGGATGAGAAAGTTTGTGCAATGTGTTGAAGACATTGCGTCGATAATGTTTCGGCACGATTGGGCGATCCCTACCTGTAGATGTGTCACAAAGTAAGGTTTCCTTACCTGTTCCCATCTGTTTGATGCGTAGTTTAAGTGTTGTGGACGATAACTCGTGCTGAAGATCACTGTCTTCTTTTTGAAGCTCGGCGAGTTTAAGAAGGTCGATTCCTTGGAAACTGTTCAAGGAAGTTATACGAGATAAAGCGTCTGCAACTACATTGTTTGCTCCAGAGATGTGTTGAATATCTGAAGTAAACTGCGAAATGTAGTCCAGTTGTCGAGACTCACGGGGAGAGTACTTGTCAGAAGGAGAGCTTAACGAGAAAGTGAGCGGTTTATGGTCCGTGAAAAGAGTGAATTCACGGCCTTCGATATAGTGTTGGAAATGCCGTACAGCACAATACATAGCTAGGAGTTCCCTACCGAATGTGCTGTACCTCGATTCGGTGTCTAGCAACCTTCTAGAGAAAAATGCCAAGGGTTGCCAGGAGTTGTTAACCCATTGTTGTAAGACTCCTCCGATTGCTGAGTCGGATGCGTCTACTGCGATGCTAATGGGTGCTCGGGTGTCCTGATGTGCGAGCATTGTTGCTTTAGCAATCAGTTCCTTGACTGTGGAGAATGCTTTTCGTGCGGTGTCGTCCAAATTAATGGATTTCGCATTTCCACGAAGTTGGTCGGTCAGAGGTTTCATAAGTGATGCGCATCTGGGTATGAAACGTCTATAGAAACTTACCAGGCCGTTGAACGTGCGTAATTGCTTGACGGTGGTCGGTTCTGGGTAATCCAGAATGGCCGCCACTTTGGTTCTAAGGGGTCGGATACCTTGAGCATCGATAGTGTGTCCCAGAAAGTCTAACGAGTCGGTTCCAAATTGGCATTTCTGAACGTTTACAGTTATGCCATGTTTTTGTAATCGTTCGAAAACAAGGTCCAGATGCTTGAGATGTGTTTCTCTGTCCGGACTTGCGATTAGACAGTCGTCAACATACGCGTGTACGAAGTTGAGACCTCGAAAAACGTCGTCTATGAATCTTTGGAATGTTTGAGCAGCATTCCTTAGACCGAAAGGCATTCGCAAAAATTCATAGAGTCCGAAGGGAGTTATGATAGCCGTTTTCGGTATGTCGTCAGTGGCCATAGGGATTTGGTTATACGCTTTAACCAAGTCGATTTTCGAAAAGACAGTTGTACCTTTCAAGGTAGCTGTCAAATCGTGAATGTGAGGCAACGGGTAACGATCGGGAATGGTTTTCGCGTTCAATCGCCGATAGTCACCAGTTGGACGCCAATCGTTGCTGTCCTTTTTAGGGACCATGTGCAACGGAGATGCATATGGGCTACTTGACGGTCGTATGATTCCTAAGTCCATCATGTGATCGAATTCGTTTTTCGCTAACCTTAGCTTTTCAGGAGCTAGTCGTCGTGCTTTAGAAAATACAGGTGGTCCTGTAGTCGTGATGTGATGTGTAACATTGCTGGTTACACACGGTAGTTTCGTTTGCGTTTGTTGTATCCCAGGGTACTTATCGAGTAGTGGTTGATAGAGTGGGTCTATCATATGTTTAACTGTGACTGGGGATACTCTACAACCAGTAAAAGAAGTTACGCAAACGGACAAATTAGTGTTTCCGTCTACTAGCCTCCGTTTGCGAGTGTCGATGATCAGATTGTGGTGTTGTAGAAGGTCCATACCAATGATTGGCATAGAAACATCTGCAACGACGAAAATCCAGTGGATGGGTTTGCGTAAACCCACGTTAAGGTAAACGTACCTTTTGCCATACGTAGCGATCGGTTTTCCGTTTGCCGCCTGTAAGTTTAGGGTCGATTCGTGAAGTCGGTCGTTAGGATTTGCTGGGAGAACGCTAACTTCTGCGCCAGTGTCGACGAGGTAGCGAACTCTCGTTGTCACATCTGTGACGAATAACAGACGGCTTTGTTCGCCGGCTACGGTTGCCGTTAACGCGTGCCGGCTTGGAAGTTTCCCGAATCAGTCGGTTTCGTGTTGGGAAAATTGCAGGGTTTTCTGCAATTTCTGGAAAACTTTCCATACTGGTTATGATACCAGCACCAGTCGGGGTTATCTGTCTCTCGTGGTCTAGAGACAGATCGCTTACGAGAAATGCTTCTACGTGGTGTGCGCGATCTCTTACGGTCGGTACGAAGACTAAGATAACGCGTGAGTGTGTGACATAAGTCGGTTATGTCATTCTGAGTCGTGTGAGGCTTTTCTTTGACTGAAAATACCTCGGTAGTAGAAGGTTTCGTAATTTCTAGAATGCGGTCGGCAGATACAGCTAGTTCGTCTAAGGCGTTGTTCTGGAACGAGACCAGAACTGCTTGCACCTGTTGGGGAAGTTTTGACAAGAAGAGTTGTTTGAATAGACCTTCGTCGAAAGTTCTTGGGCCTATAACCTCTCTCATCCGTTGCAACATGTCCGTCGCAGAACCGTGTTGCAGGTCGATATTGTTGAAGAGTTGATCTAACCTTTGTCGATCGGTTAGGTCTCCTCGTTTAAGAATCGAGCGTTTTAAGATTTCGTAAGGATCGGAAACATCACTAGTAAACATACTAGGTGTTACGTACCTGTTGAATTCGCGCGGTAGTGCCTTGACTACTGCGAGGAATTGTGCACGTGTGTCGATCACGCCGTGCTCGGAAAAGTCGGCTTCTGCGTAGCAAAACCAGGCTTCGATGTTGTCGGGCCAGAAAGGCATCAGTTGAAACGAAGGTGGGGACAAGGTCTTAAGCTTGAGTACTTTAGGTGTCTGTTCAGTCATGATGAAATATGAAGTACGATAATGAACGAGGGGAAAATATATATATATCCAAGAAAAATACGAAAAAAAATCACAATGTTTAAAAAAAATAAAAAATAAGGCAATGATATATAAAAATCCCAAAAAGGAACAGACTCACAGTTGCAATAAGGTGTACCAGATCACGACGGTCTCACCAATGATGATGTCACAGGTATTCAGTGTTTGACAACGCTTCTACCAGTAACACCTTCTAAGATATTTCGTTCCCACCAAGAGAAATCAAAAGACAGAGTCGAGGAGATCGGAAGAGTATATTTGGCGATGACCAATATACCGGGATTCTCTGATCTAATCTGGCTAGCGATTGTGGTTGATGTTGAGCACGGCGTTACTACACGTGATCTGGTGCGGATGCCTGACCGAGCGCCTTCAGCTAGATGAGTCCACTAAAACATATGGTCAGCATCCAATGTCGAAAACTTACAGAGCTATTTATTTTAGGGATTTATTTACCGCTACAATGTTGATACAAATAAGCACATTACAGTCGACTTAACACTGACTGAACAACTAGGTCGAACTACTGACAAAGTGGGATAAAAGCTATATAAGAAGCACAAACATTACGAAAATTGATGTGTGACAGAGATAGTACTGTTCGCAGCTGATAAATAAAGACATCCAAAATACTCGACATGTAACATATTCACAAGAAACCATAGCCTAGCTTGTTCTTCATGTCTTTACCTATCAAGATAATCTTCGCATCTTTCCAATTCTCACCAACTGTATGACAATGCCTCAGGATTTGATGTGTATTTTATACATCCAGCGCGAGATTGAGAGCTTTGGTTTTACGCGCGCCTTTGAAGTCTGGTATGACCTGGTCAATGTGTATCTTACCTGCAAGGAAATTCCCTTACTAGTTCGTTGTGATTTATTTGTTAACTAGATTTTCGCTGCAATAATTAGGAAGCTTACGGTAATTTCATATATTCATGCTTATGTTGAAGTTATTTCATTGAAAATTAAGCTGAACTACTACTGAGCATCCCTATGGCTTTGGATAACAACGTTCCACTATTGTTGACACAATCATTTCTTGATCTTCGTGACGAGTGCTATTCCCTCATGGACAAAGTAGTGACTTATATTTTTGTTAACATGCGTTTTAGAGATTTACGAATAACAATCGTATACCAAAAAACACGACAATATACGCCTACGCCAAACTATTCGCACAATTCTGCTTATTATCTGAAGAATTGGAGAGGTGGCTTAAGAGAGTTTGTAAAATGGCTTTCGAAGGACGTTTGGCCTATGGTAGTCGTTCAGAATCTTATATGAATCAGGTATGTTTGCTAAGTTCAAACATGAACTCACTTTTAATGTTCTGTAAAATGACTTAAAGGTAGTTGGGAGTTCAATTTCTCTCCCAAGTAGGAGTACTATCACTCGAGGTATTGCGTCAGCTCAAGGATACACGGATTGCCGACTGAGCCATGCAGGTAGGCGCAGACTACATGCTTAGGATTCACGTGACCGTGGTATCCAATAATTAAAGACCTAATATGACTACTCAGATGCATCCACATTTTTCTTTCCTTAGCTTCAAATTTGATGAAATACCTTACGATTTTTTAAAATTTACTCCACTGATCCATATCTTTTCGATTCCTAATCTTTTCTGTTGCCACTAATGCTATTTCTGCCCCTCTTACTCTGGTTTTTGGTTGTGGCAAGTTTAGGAGTCAATTCATCTTTACCAATGTGACCAATCAAGAGTTTAGGAGTTCCGTCTTTCAACCTCTAGTTCATGATTATGACTTAGCTACACCATGGACTTGTAACCAAACAGTGGTCATCATCCAAATTATGAACAAATCGCTTTCTGGAAAGTTGCATTATCGTGTAGTTTACAGTGGTGATGAAAGCTTGCGATATAAGAAAAATAATGCACTGTTAAACTGCTATCGCCCCTACGGCAAAATCATCTACGATATTGTAGTGTAATTTGATTTTTGATTTAAGCTAACTAATCTGGAAAAATGTTTTGACGTTTCTATCTGTAAAACGTAAGTTTAAGTATGATTTCAACCGGGATAAATGACAATCTGACTTATATACATAGTAGTTCCATGTTAATAATAATTGCATGGGGTCCACTTAATGTGTCCCTTTTGCTAATCCAATTAATATTAAATAAAGCTTAATCATTTAACCCTTGCTATCACGGAATTCGACAGTCGACAGAATAAAATTTAGTTATGTTTCGTTTGTGAGCACAGAATATAATGTTTTTTGGGAAAACATTTAACAAAGAATTACGACTACAACTAATTTTGAAATTAAGGCACGTTTTTTTGCCTTTACAGCGCTTCACGTATTCCAAATCCACTCGAATGAGGTATGAAAAACAACCTAGAATGTAACTAGTCGACTTTATATACGGTTGTTTCATTTTGAGCAAAATATTTTCTCTAAAAAGTAGATACAAATCTATTTTACATATTACATTTTCACTGCAAGTGTATAGTCTTAATTAGTTCTATAACCTTTACATTTTCGGTCACCTGAGATTGTCTAACAAGCTGCTGATTTCTTGAGAATCCAACACGCAAACATCCTTTTTAATAGATTATATCCTAGATGTTCTAAATGGACATGGAAATTAGCATGACTAGGGTAATAATAACAATTTGTTACCAAATTTGGAAACCTGCAGTATCTGTTGAGATTAGACTCTTCATCGTTCATTTAGAGATATGTTTTTCATTGATCGTAAGGCAAGGAGATAGAGAGTAAGTCAAACATATTTCACATGATAGAAAAATGTTATTTTTCCTCTCAATGATTACCTTTCCTAATATGCGCCCTTTTAATGGTCACCCTTATTAACTTGCGTTTTTCGCTCGCATCCTTATTGGTGTGAATCTTTTCTGGAGATACTTCATTTTCTTTAATGTAACACTATCGGCACATACTTTATTGCCTTGTAAGTTGGATGCTAAATAATTTCTGTATGTCTTGTCTTTTTAGTGTAGGGCGTCTAAATTATAGGTAGTCGGTCGTAAGTATTTTTAAAGAACTGCCTGGATATAGTAATAAAAACATCAGTCTGTATATCTGTGAATTTACATAAACCGAAGAGGCTACTAGGCATTATGTCACGCAAGGCACTCCATCTTCTATAACGACAGGTGATTTAGGCTGGGAAAAGAAAAAGCTGTATGTATTAGAAATATGAGTTTTTGTTAGGAAGTTACATCAATGTCATTTTCGATTTTCAGAATTACCTTGGGTGTATTAACAATCGAGACGTTGACCTTAATCGTTTACGTTCCCTGGCCAACCAGCTTTTGGTTATGTCCGGAAAGACCTCTGATTCCGCAACTGAATCTGTGGAAGATTTTCTTGAGGTCAATATTTCCAGTAGACTTCAAGAAATCGAAACCATATGGAGTGATATTACAAGTCTCGTTCAACCGATGAGCTTATTACACGACCCATCACGTACAATAAAAGGTTAGAGACCGTAATTTTACACGATTTGCAAACCCAATGTTGTAAAAAGACGATTTCAACTTCATTAAAGCGTAATTTTTTATTTATAGATGTTGAACTGGACGTTCAAGAAACTGAGGCTAAGCTTCGCTCAATCAGTAGAAGTAAGTTTACCACTATTTGGTTATTTGATAAATTTTCAAATAATATGATAAATATACAAGCAGTTGTTTATTCTTTGGTAGTGGTATGTTCTCCGACTCACGTGGTTTGATTGCTTAGCTTTGCCGTCGGGAACACCACCTCCTACTCCATCCATCTATCTATGTTTCAAACCAATTCCACTTTAAAGTTATTTGTTCATTCACTCGATCGATAAAGTACGAAATTTTGTTTTCCGCCTATCTACTCCATAAGTATTTCACACCTTGTGTAAAATTGTGATGGAATATAACTTTATCTGATTATTTATGGCGAAATTAATGAAGTTGAATGCTTTGGTCCTTTAAGTTACTTTACCAACCAAACTTTTACAGGATCAGAGCATAAATTATGTCAATCCTAATCAACAAAGCCTTGGTTCACCCTGTTTAATCTCACAAATCAAGTGACTTGTGTGGTGCATATGTATTCGGTGCCCCGTTGTATCAATATTTATGTGTTCAAATGAATTAATAAATAATCACTGCTTGAATGGAACAATGGAGGGAAGTGGTTGTATGTCCTCACCCTCCCTGTGGTGTTTGTATATAGGACTTTCAAGATGCTAATAAGCTTCTCAGGCACATCCTTCTTCCATAGATAATCCCAGAGAACAGTCCTGTCCAACGAATCGAAGGCAGCCCTATTGTCAAGAAACACTACGATTGCTGGCTTGTGATAAGTATGACGGTGTTCTAACATTTGGCGGAGGGTGAAAATATGACCAACACATCCTCAACCAGAACGAAACCCAGCCTGCTCCTCGCGAGTCAATCTTTCTCGGGTTTCGAACAACCTACGAAGAATGACGGAAGCCAATAGCTTGGACGCAATCGGAAGTAGACTTATCCCCGATAGTTGTTAGAGCAACGACGTGAACCCTTTTTAAAGATAGGGATTAATATCGACTCATTCCATGACGTTGGCACACTCTCTAGCTTCCAGACCTTTGTAAACAACGTCGTCAATTCCTTAGCCAGAAAGTCACCACCATCTTTAAAAAGAGCCGGAGGTAAGTCATCTAGGCCCAGGGATTTGTAGCGCTTCAAGAGTTGGAGTTCTTTGCGGACTTCCGCCTCATTTGGTGGATCAGTCGTCACAGGTCATGGAGGTCAGGACAGTCCGACCGATGTTGCCGGAGCGGCAGGCAAGTTAAACTGCCCTCCGAAGAATTCTGCCCATCGTCCAAGACGTCGATGGATGTTAGTGATTGGGACCCCGTCATTTTCGCAGATTGTTTCGCTCACACCAGACTTCTTGCTGCCAGTGACTTGGATGAGTTAAGAGCTTCCGGCTGTCACCAGATGCAGCTGCTGCTTCCAACTTATTGGCACGCGCCGACCACCAGGCTTCTCGGTCCTTACGTAAGCTTTGCCTAATTTCATTACGTAACAGTCCTCGTTCATAGTCAAACTCGCGGTCACCCGAAGCAGGCCGATTGGCTTCGATGAGTTGTAAGGAGCCTGAAGAAACCCAGTGCTTATAAGCCGGACGTTTCACGAAGACACAGGCGAATTTACTCGCCATTTTCATGGCGTCATGAAATTGCAACCAATGCAGTATTGTACACAACCACACCAGAAGTAGCTGATCGTGACGTGATCGATCTAAGTCCAGGCTTGGGATGTAGAGGGAGGACGCCAATTGATGGCAAAACTCATCCGGGTTGCAATCTGTTGGAGCATAGGCGGAGATGACGAAAACACATCGTTTCCCACATCGATTTCTCACTTTGGTGGAACTTTTTGACTTAACAACACATGACCGACTGTTAATGGGGATCCAATCAATCAGTGATGTCTCAGCTCTAGCGTTCAATTCGACATCAACGTCAGCAAGACCAGACGAAGATGCCATAGGGTCCCTGGATAAACGTACGTGAAACAAGCTTTTCAAGGCGACAGATGGAAAGCGAATTTGTAGTACTTCACTAGAGTCTTAAATACGGGTCACGGATAGACAACAAACATCGATATTAAGACTTTCTAAAGACATAGCCAACCTTATTTGTTTTCAGATCTGGATTAGTGTGTGAACGTTGAAGGAAGCTATTTTGAATGGTATACTTAGTTTCAGAAAGAATTTCAGTAATTGTATTCGGTGATAGGATTCAACTTTCGACGAGTCTTTTAGGTAGGACAGGGTTTTCACTATTGGTAAGCTGCTGTGTAAGTTGTAAAATAAGAATACACAAGGTGAGAATAAAAGTGAGTAGATAAACGGCGTAGTATATAAAAATACTTCGGTTTGGGCATCCGGGCAGTATCACAGTCCTCACACATATCGAATGAAATCTGTGTGGCGCATATGTATTTGGTGCCTCCTTGTACCAATATCAGTGTGTTAAAATAAATAAATAAAATATCAAGTGAATGCGAATTATGTAACTTTTAATTAAAGCAAGAATAGTATTTCCAGTGGTAATTTTCATTTCATTTGATTTGTGCGTGGTCTGTGATGCTGTCCTGGCGCTCAAACCTAAGCAGGCGGTTTTCTTATGGGGCCACACTCAGAGCCTTCGACCTAAAGGTCTGATCCACAAGGTAGTAAAGCAACGTTAGGGAATGCAGTCCCATGGTAGCCGGTGGTGAACAATAGATTCATGCGCCATTCATTCCCTCAGGATACTGGAGCCCATGTACGCCATTCTTTTGGAATCAAGGTTTTCCAACTCCCCTAGGTATACCCTCCGTGTCGTTTGAGTATCTTTAAAAGCCCCAGTATCCATTTTAAATCTTAATTTCACAAATTTAAAGATCCTCTTTCCCAAGTTGGAATTATCATCGGTTCTCACTCATGAAAAAGTCGGAAAAAATAAGGTGGTCACACCAAAACAAAATTATTTACTGAAGACTAGGAAGATGTACATATCTTTACTTAGTTTTATAAAATGATTATCGTCTCACTAGGGATGCAGCAAAATAACTCAATCTATATCATTTATGTATTTAGTTTCTATATTCAAAATTTCTATAATCTTACTTTGTAAATCCGACTGTCCGTTCCCGCTTTTTTCCTTGTTACTTGCTACTATTGTTTATTAGTTGTTTCTTCTCTTTGTGTTTATGTAAAGTGTGGCATCTCAGGACAGTGCATGATTGTTCCATTTCCCCACTTTTTCTCCTTGTACTTCCAAGCTTATACTATAGTTTGATTACTTTTTAAATTTGTAACTAGGAACTTTTGACCTACAGACCGTACTAACGAAGTCGATCAGAGGAACCTGTGACCTGAATTCAGATATGAGTGTACTCGAGGTTAGTTTTCTTTTGTCGATGAGCCTGTGTTAGTAGACTCTTTTTCGTTCATTACATTACACCTCCATTATTTATCCTAATTCCAAAAATTCCACTGATCTACAAATATATAGGCAAAATGTAATCCATAATTTGTGTCTATAATCGTCTAAAATTGAAGTAACTGGGACAAACTGATTATTGAATTATTTCATATAATCAGATTACGTCAATGTATGCTTGTTTCTCCATTTCACGTGTCCAGATTTAGACATTATTCAAGGTAAAAAAAATGTGAGTTTTTGCCAATTACCGTGCCGAATACGTATTTGTGGTTGCGATTTGATCATATTTTGTGCTTAATTAAATGTACTCAGGGGGCAAATATAATAAACATTTTATTCTGAAGTATCCAAAACACCAATAAATATTATTTCCATCTAATGATCAAAGGGTTTGTAGTTGTAAAACAGCATCCTACTTATCAAGGTCTATGCTGTTTCAAAAAATGACTAAATTTCTTCAGTCCACCATTTAGTTAGATACAGATTTAAACCAGTGTTCATCAAGGGAGCTCATTGATATTGACTAGTATAAACTAATGTGACTCATAGTAATAAACACCTGTCTTTTTGAAACCTACCAACGAATTTGGCGGGCCTAATTAACTTAAATATTTTACATTTCTTACTACTCCCAGTTCTGACTACATTGTCTCACAATTGCCAACAATTAAGAAGCCACACTACATAAATAATTGTGAATTTAGTGACTGCAGATAGATGGTGGATACGGAGAGTCCACCTAAGGGACTTGGAAAACTCTGGTTCCTAACCGATGGTGCACATGGGCTCCTGTACCCTGAGGGAACAAATGGCGTATGAACCAATTTTCGGTCACCGGCTACCATGGGACTGCATCTCCTCACGATGCTCCACTACCCTGTGGATTAGACCTTCAGTTCGAAGGCTCCGGGTGTAGTCCTATAAGAAAACCACCTACTTCGGTTTGAGCACCCGGGCAGATCACAACCCTCACACAAATCTCAGTTGATTTGTGTGGCGCATATGTATCTGGTGCCTCCTTTTACCAGTATTTATGTGTTCAAATAAACTAAATAATAAATAAATGCAGATAGATTTGAGTGTAAGATTTTATCTTTTTTCTTCAGTGTCAATTATACCACGTGATTACGTGGATTACGTTTGAGATATGTGACAGTCAGTCATAGTTGATTGGAAAATTGAAGCACAGTAAAAGTACGAAAATGAAGGTTTTATTAAGCGTTTTGGCCCCAGAGAGAGGTTTATTATTCTGGAAATACCACATAGAAATGTCTCATTTCTTAGTTAGGCATTATTTATTTTTTCATACCTCCCAATCTTAGTTTTAATAAAGCACTGACACAATGTGTCTCAAACCGTCAACGGCTAACTATTACAGCAGCTAAGTACTGCTACTAGTATAATTTTTTTTTGTTTCTCATTGAGTTTAAGAACGAGAAAGAAAATCTGCCCACTCATTGTGTTGAAGGATCAGGTTTTGGATTTGCGACCCGCCTTTAATACTTTTCAGGGGTTTCATAGATCGATTCTACTACATTTGAAAGCTTTAGTTTGTACACATTTATTTATATCAAATCACCATATGTCAAGTACTGAGTACCGCAATGTTCAGCAGTGGTTTCTGAAATGATAATTCTCCTGTAGTCCCGTGTGAAGAAGCCTATTTCAGTCACGTGCAGTCTTAGAAGAGTACTAGGCACTCTTTTCTCAACAACAAAAAGAAATAGCAGGTTCAGAACTGTTTAACTTCTAAATCCACATCTGATTGTATTTTCGGCCTCTCTGATTTATTTCCATTCACAAAGCCATCTCCAACAGCAATTTTACCACCAATCATCATGAGGGAAGTGGGTGATCCACTGCATGAAGCTTTCTCTTTTTTAGGTGTAGTATGTTCTGCGTCCCAATACCTCACTTTTTAAGGTATATCATTATATCTTATTTGAATGATGTAACATCAAAATGTTTGGGTTTTTTTCAAATAAATTCTGCCCATGTTTATTGTGGTTATCTCTAAAGGTTGTATATATCACACCTATATAGGCGGAGCATATCTCTCTCAAAAGATCTATGCAAACGCTGTCCGCCGCTAGCTGTTTACTTTCACAGCTCCATATGTTTAGTATCGAAAATAATCTGCATTCATATGGAGGGGAAACTTTTGATTTGCTTATCTGCAAACTTACTGAGAATATCGACAAGTTAACTTACAGAGGCTGGTCTCTTTGGTGTATGCACCTGGAGTTACTTGAACGCTGGAGGTATTTATCTAAAGGTCAAAGTTCTTTTGAAAATGTGAGTTATCATTTCGTACGCAATCTGTTGTACGTTTACGGTTTCAAAATATATGTGTTATCTTGACTTCGTATTTAGTTCACATTCATACTACTAATAATAAACTCAGTGAATCCACTTGCTTTTCATCCAAATAACTTATTGTTTTATAACTATAGATCCTTTTTGGAGTTATTTTTACATAATCAGGCCATGATTATAGCTATCATGGGACCCAGTCGTTCTTTTTTAAGAAATGGGCTGATGCTGAGAGCTGTAAATATGACTAGTATAACAATCCATTCAAAAAATAGAAATTCTTAGCACTCATCAAATTGACTACGAGAATTACATACAATTAAAAGATTAATCAATGGAGTCGGATTATTGGGCTTGGGTTTCAGTAAAATAACACTTTTAAGAAGTTAACTATCTGTGCTTGTTGTATAATTCTTGACAACTTATCATCAAAAATTATGCATATCATTCGGCAGAGTGAATTGTGTATATCCTCATCATCTACTCAGCGATATGTTACTGACCTCAGAACATGTTTGTTATGTGTATTTTACTATTATCATGCAAACCTGTTATCCTGTTACATAACTTTTTTAGTCTTATGACTAGCTATGTCTCTAGGTCTATATGTGTAAATTATGATTCACTGGTGAATTAGTCTAATTTTAGGGTTCCGTAAAGACAGAATAATAATTCTTCTGGAGATGTGTTCCAGCGACTTGATAACCTGTTTTAGGGTCTTCCAGTTAAACGTTCAAACCTCATGAATAAAGCTACCAGTAGTTGAGTAGTCGGATAGTATAATTAGCTATACTTTTAATTCCTAATATTTACAGTAAGATTGTGTATGATTAAAGTTTTATTTTTTCTAATCTGTTATGCTATCTATGTTTGGGGTATCTTGAAAATACTATTTTTCTGTGAGCAACCATTCATATCTCAGTCCTGCAATTCCTAAACTACGGGTAGAGTTTCAGTTCCGAACCCACTAAATTGTTAGTGATTGACCTATGTAATCATATCAGATAAGCTGTTTAAATACCCAAACAGTTTTATTATCGTCCGCTACTACAGCTGATAACTTGACTCAATATTTACTTTACTAGTTCGCTTTAGAAAATTGCTTGTTGGGTCGCTTGTGAAGTCGTGCTGATTGAAATCTAAGTCAAGTTTGTTAATCACTCGGGCTGTGCGTCGTCAGCCAACAAGTCTCTAATCGATACTATTCGATAAAAGCATTTCAATAGAGTAAGGTAACTTCATATCAACCACCTGCCCATTAAGACTAAAAGTTATCCAGTTTTTTTGTTAGTTAGTGCTGGTTTCTTTTCTGTAATGATAGCCTCCATGCCATCTGTGATTCATATTTTCACACGACCTTTTCTGCTCTCTGATTGGTTATCATCCTTAGTTTGCTAATTTTCCTGTATCTCGAAGCCATATTCTGTTACTGTACACAAATAGTTCAATTTTCCCTCGTTAAATATCAAGCTTTTTCTGCACTTCTACCTTCTTGGGTTCCACCGTTTGGGGATTACTGTTGAGACATTGTATATGTCAGTTACCGTATTATCGTGCTCTCATTAGTTTCTGTCCTTGTTAGGTGGATCTAAATTGTTCGTAATTAAGCTTTACCGTAATCCCAGACGAACCAATCACAATCCATAACAACAAATCAATGCAATACATGAAGTTAAAATTAAACTTATTGTTAAATTACGGTTTGGTACATACTAGGCTTCTGCCTTTAGGGTAATTTAGGAAAGTTTCACCACTTTAAATTCATTTTGTATTGCTTGTCTGAATATCCCCACTGATGTTTAGGACTGCGATTGATCAGTCTCTTATTGGCATACGTGCATCCTGTGCGGATTGCCTCGATATTACCTTAAGTCACAAGCATTATAAGCAAAGATGCATAGTAGCTAGCAGTGAAATCCAGGACGCGCATTTCGTCCTATTCCACTGCTAGCCACTATCCATCTTTTCTTAGAATTTTATCACTTTTGCATACGGTCTAGTAATTCTGCACTGAGGGAATTTATCTGCTCTCCTCTTCGGATCTTTGAATTTTGCAGCAGTAGTAGGATTGACGCTTTTTAAGGTTTTGGGATTTCTTGCTTGCAAATGAGAATGAGGGGAATTTGGAGTCGTGCACAATTCTTCGCACTTCACTTCAGCAGTTAGCTAGTTATCAAGCACTTCATTAGAATCGTCTTCCTTGGTCAGTAAAGAAAGCTGTCCCTGAAGCGTTTTTAAATTTTCTTGACCTAGGATAGATTGTTTGCAATCAGTAATGAAGAATTCTCAGTGAGCCTATAATTTATGGACGACCTTTGAGCAACGCTAAGATGACCTTGAAAATGTCCACCTACTAACTAGGACTAAATGAGGGTTATAAAGCAGTGTGAGGAATTATAATTATGGTTCACCGTTGATAGTTAGGGTTAGGAATTCGATTTAGGATTTTCATCACGAACTGACATAAACTATAATGCTGAAATAGTATTTAGCCAGATGAGTAGATAAAGTTCGCGCTAAAATCCAACACCTGTTGTCTCAGGTCTGATTGGTTCGTCCATAAATTATAGTCTCGCTGAATTCACAATTTAGGATTAAAGATTTATCGTCTCTAATAAGCAAATTGCAGCACTGAAGAATAGAAAGTTTATGACCTGTAATACTCGAAATAGAAACTTTTGTAGGCTTGATTATGGCATCGGGATTTAATGACTTCAAATTCCCAACCGAAATTATGGACTTGATGCTGCCAGTGCCAACAGTTGAATCATGAAAAGCACCACTGGATAGATGTAATCGTTTTTGGATATGAAATGAATCACAGGAAGTCATAAATAAGGATATTATATGCCCTAGTACGGCCGAGAGTGGGGAGAGTCCGCTTTTCCTCTCAAAATGCTCCCACATAGCCACGCGTATATAGCCTCTGCCAGGGAAGTCCTACTCACTGCCTTCTCGTGGCGGGGGTGTTGTTTACGAAATTGAGAGGACGAAAAGCGAATGTCCGGCGCTTTAACCGGGTTGGTAATCATGGAGGGTCCACCTAGGGGAGTTGGAAAACCCTGATTCCAAACCGATGTTGTACATGGGCTCCAGTATCCTGAAGGAACAAATGGCGTATGAACCAATCGTTGGTCACCGGCTACCATGGTACTGCATCTCCTCATGATGCCCCACTACCTTGTGTATCAGACCTTCAGGTCGAATGCTCCGGGTGTGGCCCCCTGAGAAAACCACCTACTTCGGTTTGAGCACCCGGGCAGTGTCACAGCCCTCACACATATCAAATGAGATTTGTGTGACGCATATGTAGTTGGTTGCCTCCTTGTACCAATATCTATGTGTTAACATAAATAAATATGTATATGACTATTAGAACCATTCGAATTAATAGGATATGAATTACAAAGTTTAGTATTACTTGCGACGAAATGAACAGTAGTTTTACGAACCGACTGAATGTGTCCCCTTTTACCATACTTAAAGCATTTAGCATAATAAAAGACATATGACTTACGTAAGTGAAATTTACCAAACTTGTGCTCACCTCAATAACTTGCTTTGCCATTCCTGAATGAATTGTCATTCATGTTTTCACGAAAACAAGGATTATTGTCAATTAAACGCCTACCTGTGTGACCTTAAGTACGCATCGGATTAGGATAACTAGGTTACGTAGTAAAATTCTTGATGTCCTGGAAGTAAATTTCATGCACTGCCTCATAATTACTACACACAGTGCTAGCATCTTGAGAGAAACATTTCGGCATTTGTATAAGCTTTTTTTTACACATTTGGTATGTTAATTACTACAATCAACCAGTCACACAGCTTCACATGAACTTGATCACCAAAATTACACTGCAATTCAAGGATATATTCTCTAACCTTTTGGTTGTCGTGGCGGATCATTTTATGAAATTTTGCTCTTTCACAGCATTCGGAGACAGTACTCTACATGATTTAGTAGTTCTTTGAAAGTTGCATAGGGAAGTGAAGTAAGCTTATCTGAAAATACCAAATTCTTTAATAAGAGCATCCTTTCTGATGAATGTAAGGAAATGGGCCACCATTTCATCATCCTTAACTTCTTTCCTTGTCATACTCTAGATTTCAAACCTATTCATGTAATCTTTGAAAGCTTCCGAATTTGAATGTATGTCCAACTGTTCAATCACGGGCTCCATCGCGACGCCAATGTAAATATTCGAAGTATTAGAAATATTTGAATTATTGTACTAACTTGAAATTCCCGAAATAGTACAATTTACAGCAAGTAGAACTAGATGAGCACAAATGAACGTATTATATTTGGAATTTGGAATCAGTGGGCAATCAGGTACAAAAGAACCATTAGTTCATACAAATACTACAATGTCCTGTCTACCTCCCGCGTCTTTCCCTATTTTCTCTTCATCTGGAAGTTGGTTTGCTCTCTGCCAGAGTAGATTGTTGCTGATGGTATCCGGCCATGTTGGTAGATGCAGACTACTTGGTTGGGGTCCGCGTGACTTTCGTAACCAATGGTTGGAGACCCTTGGTGACATGGCTCAGAATCGATCACAATGGCGTCGGTGTATACACTCTCTGTCTTCTCTTAAACTAAGAGATTAAGATCACTTCACATCTTTCTTTCTACGAACTAATTCTTTCTTCCTATACTATATCCTTATTGCAATCTTCCTCCTATATATTACCACCTTTGACCTAACCACTCCTATGAATCCAGTGTTCATCTTGCTGTGCTAATGAGGTATGGCAACCTGGGCCGATGCATACATGTGCCTGGTCCTACGTTGTAGCTGACTGACTGACTGACTGACTGATGGTATCCGGCCAACAGACATTGAGTATCTTAAGTCGACGAGTGTTTAATATATACTTATTTACTTTATTAACATGCTTATATGATGGTTAACAAACTTGGGTCTTATATTTAAACCCTATTCTATCCACTCCGTTTTGGGGACCAGATAGTATCATCTGCTCTTTCATTTAAATGCAATGTCAAAGCCAAACATTTCGTTACACTTTGGAAGTATTCCATAAGTAAATACGAAACTGCTTATTTCCCTATGGTTGGTGTTCATCCTAAGTCAGAGGAGTTTCTGAATTATATTACGTAGCTTAACGTTTCGATTCAATGTAGTGCTTTACTTTTATTATTGTTCTTTTGACTAGTGTGACATTCTCTTTTTGATTGTATTCACCAAACATTCATCTCAAGTTGGGTGCTCCTCTAAGCTAAGTTTATTGAAGGTTAAAGTAAGCTCCCACTGGTGATTTATTGTTTACCTGATAAGTTATTTGCAATACTAAGGACGCTGCCATATTCAGTAAATGATGTCCTTTATGTATACTGATTAGTTTTCTTTATTTTTATTGATTTTGGCTGACAGTAACGATTTGCATCAACTTCATAAAATGAATCATTGCTTGTTTTTCTTTTGTTGAATTTCATGGTTTCAAACATTGATTCCAGCTGAATTTTGATGTGAACAATCGGATCGATTATTCGACTTCCAGTGTATATTCACTGTGTTGTTCAGAATCAGGGTTTGCGAGTGATGCTGACCAATTCCTAACTTGTCAAGCAGCAGATCAATTAGATTTATCTAATCCTAATTTTGTTATTTCTGATTTATTGACTACAAAGTCCAAAAATAGAAAATCCTTTTCTTCTGTAAATGATAATATTCTTTCTCAATCCTCGGACTGTTTATGGACTTCCAATACAGGTAATTAGGTTTTAAGTTCGAAGTATAGGATTCGAAGTAAGTTATTAACAACCTAGATGATTAGACATAGTTTCTACCGATCAACAGTGGATATCTGCATTCATGTTAAAGTCGTCGTCATCCTTTAATTTTACAGATTAGGTATAGGCCCGGAGTTAATTCATTTTAAACAGCCACGTTATTTAAAATAATTAAGTCCAGTTAGCTAATTTTGATACACTGAAAAGTCTATAGATCAACCTGAGATTGCGCAACTAATAACTTTCATCACTTAGGTAATCAATAATTGTCCGTCACACTCATTTTGACCAGTAATTCGTTCTAGCTTCTGACTGGTAATCTGGACTCTCTTTTTGTATTACTTTGTTCTAGGTATATTTGCAATTTTTGTCGTAAGAAGAGGTGGTTTTGTGGTCATTCGACTTTTAACTTCCTAGTTGCATTTTTTAAATCCGTTCTATTTATTTGAACCCTGGGTAACAGTCATATTAGCTTTTTTTTTTACAAAGTTTGCGACTAGAAATCGAGCACACAATTTATACTTGATTAATAATTTATGTCAATAATACTGTTATAGAAGGATACACGAAATTTCGGGCTGAAAATACTCTTTTATAGATTTCGCATTTTTGTGATTATATTGATAAAAATGAGTATATATATGTAGGAAAAGCGATTGAATGCAAAAATAAAGTGAAATAAAAACGAATTGATCAAATATTTTGAAAAGACTGGTTTGTATGTCTATAGTCATTAACCAAATAGTACATTATCTGGAGAAAATTAAATTTAGATAATGATTACTTAATTACGGTAATTTAGATTGAGGTAACTCTTACGACCTAATGGATATAAAGAAGGGATTTCAACTAAAACAGCTTATTTCTTGATAGATTATTAGGTGAGGACAATCATTCAATAAAAATTCTCTGGGTTTCTGTTTTGTAGTCAGTAATACTCCAGTTGATACAGTTCTAAAACTCCACTTCGACATAATTTTCAGTCTTGGATTTAAGGTATATTTCTATGCTTTGCTCGATAGATGTAAAACTTTATTTAAAATTGTATTATCTAATCTAAACAGCGCTGCAAACTTTCATGGGTTTTTAGGAAGTTATGTTCACGTAAACACAGTATATTAAATGTACATACTTAACTATGTTCAAAGATATCAATCCTGGTATGACGACTGAAATTTATTGGAAAATTTTTTGTAAGCAGTCGTTAGTTTTCGATGTTATCTATAGTTACTTAAAATTATCCAAAGAATCTTGTCATGATTTTCCTGGTTATTCTGGTATGACAAATGTCTCGTACGCAGTTCGTGAAGTCTGGTGTAGTTTATGCTCTTAAAGTTTTCATGTGGTTTTTAGTCGCATTTAACCCACATTGGATAATGTCATGTAGGCAGTTCATTAGTAAATAAAGCGTGTCACCCATTTTATATTGTTCTAAACATATAATATTGAATAAAGCCATCAATAATAATGATAATAAACAATAGCTTTTTCAAAATACTCGGTCACTTTATGTCAGTTTCATTTAATTTTGCACTCAATCATTTTACTTACACTGTAGTAGATGTTTTCGTTTTTATAATCATATATATCGCTCAAAGATTTTCGTTATTCTCAGATTCAAATGATTCAGAGGCAATCAGTGATACACCTTCTGGTTTATTCCATGAAATTTATAATCGTACACCAACTAAATTGGTCAGTTCTTCTATGGAGCCTAATGGGAAGAGTGACGATAATGATAATGACAAGGCTAATAAATATAAATACTCTGCAAAACAGTCCAAATGTCCGTTTGATATTCGTTTCGAACAAACAAATTCCTTAGAAGATTTTAACCGTGATAACCTGAGCATGCATGTAGTAGATCATCATGATTTGGGTTCTCTTTATTCACGTTTTCATTCAAGTGATTCTGGATTGAAACGCAAATGGTTAGTTTAAAATTTTATCAGTGTTTATTCCGTCACAATAAAATGTACATTTATCTGGTCCACAAATTATTAGCCATGTTGAGGGTGATTAAGAAAGAAAATTAGTTTTTATATGTTGAAGAATGTGTAATTTTTACCATTGAATCTCAGCGATTCATTGTCATGGTGCAATTTTCTAATGTTATGTAGTAGTTTTACTATTGATGTTCTTGTAATTAGTCTTCTCATAGACGCCATGTATCAGGTTGATATAACCAGTTAGCTGGACATGTCTGTTTGATTTAACAAAAAGGTTTTTGCGATTTTGTCTTTTAAAGCCTAGTAAAAGTACTTTAACCTGGAATACTGTATTACTAGCTGTATAATAAGTAATTAGAGGATAATGAATATATAATACAGCCGATATTGCTCAACTTGTAAGTAACTTCGTGGACTGGCTTTAACCAAGCAGTCGTCTGGAAGTATTGGTTAACTTTTTCGCCTTAGTATGCAACTTACTCTCCCTGAAGCTTAAAGGTCATTGGTTCGACCCCAGTTGTTGTACGTGCGCGTCGTCAAGATGTCTCATGCGAGAATGAAATAACTGTCTAGTGTTCGTTGATTCTCAATGATTATTTAAATAAAATCAATTTGTGATGTAAGCTACAGTTAATTTGATTGTTTGGAATTCAATATTTCAAAAAACGATTGCGCATTTTTCTTCCAAAGTGTACCTCTCTGTATTGTAGTTGTTTTTTCCGAAGTCATGATTTACCTCTCCTTACTATTTCTCAGTCGAATTATTTTTTATGTTGACTATCACACTATCCAACAATAGTGTTACAATACAATACAAGCAAACATTTATGAGATTTAAGTTTACCTGAGATTAAGTAAAGTGTTCTTGTTACCGTGGGTCACCAAGGATCTTGATATCTACGTGGTCGCTCCACAAGCTGAAGCTGTGCCATCCAGGTCTTAGAGAGCTTGCATGGTGCCTAGTTCTGTAAACCACAATATTGATAAATTACTCTAACGCAACTCCTGAATTACTGACTAAATTACCCGGTCCGAACTTCGTTCCATGTCCTTCGGTTTGGAGTGTTGGGAGTATCATTTGTCTTTGCACTTGGTGTCTGTCTGGAAAGTAAATAAACTTGTACTTGGTAAATGAGTTTCATTATAACTAACATTCATTACTCAAACAACTGGAAATGGACGGTTTTATTTTGAACTATAATCAAACTGTCATTACTAAGCATCGGCTAAGTTTGTTAAGCAGTTAAATTTTCTTTGTTTTCGTTCCTGATTAGCAAATCCACTTTTTTATCGCAATTAATAATGATATGTAATTAAATCTGTTTAGATCATTTTTAGTTTAAAGTGATTAGTTATATTTATATATATTCACAGCCTTCCTTTTCATGTTTCTCATTTATGGATTTATTTATGTTTATATGGATTAAGCTTTATCTAGCTTATATAAAATTGTCTAATCAAATAGCTAGCACCCACGCGATCACATACAATCGTATCTAACCTTGACATGTAGGACTATTTATTCTGCATAGATTATTTTTGTGTTTACATATTTTCTCATTTATCTGAACAGCTGTTTGTTTCCATTTATTTTGAGAAATTGAATGCAACTTGGAAATTATTTTATTTGAGACTTTAATTTTGTTTATTAATTTTTATGTGAGTTTCTTTATCATCGAATTTTTTCCATTGATATTTAAGCAATGTTCGATATATTACATCACTAAGATCTTTGAATTAATTTTGTCAACTGTAATACTTTTTGTGTCTATAGTAGAAAGTGGTATTTTCGATTCATCACTCTGATTTATCTATCAGACTGTATAAAGTTGTTCGTAGATGATACTGTTTTGTTCTTTATGTGAATTATTATCTTTTATACAGAAATTGTGACATGTAAACCCGGTATGATGTTTCTGATTATTTCTCAATAAACGCGATCTTAGAAGTTGTATGTCAATGTTTTGTATGGTGTTATGAAAGGAGTAGTATTGAACCATCCAATGAGACGCACCAGTGTATGGCCAAACCAGAGTTAATTTGATATTAGGTCTTTTGTTTTAATCTACGGTTTGTATTCTGTTTTCGTACATTTTTTCTAAATAGATGATAAATCTCAGGGTGTAGAACCTTCAAAATGCTTCAGTTGAGAAGCTATCGAATTCGCGATAATATCTTACAAATTGTTCGCACCAAATTCTGGTTGAATATTAGGTGTTACATTGGCTGAATATCCGTTTACCTTACTATGTAGTCATTTAGTTTTTTCATAGTCTGTACATAGTTCGTCGAATGCATTGTGTTAAAAAACATTTTTGCGTATCCTTGATAACCTTAAGTTTGTTTGATTCTACTAAAATCTGCATGTGAGCTCTTTTGAAAAATCATGTTGTGTATGAGTTAACTTGGTTTTTGTACACACTTGACTCCATTTATTGATTTAGAAGTTCTTTATATTCACTAAGTCTCATACATAAAATATGGCTTTTAAGAACTGCTATCAGGTTCTGCATCAATTAACTATTTTGTGTGTAGTGTATTTTGTTCTGATTTTACCATCCCTACTTTTTATTTTCTCTCTTTCCTTTCAATAGCTCTTCTGCAAATCGAATTCGGCTTACTTCTTGGAGTGGAGAAGATATATTTAAGATGCCCATTGGTATTTTTTCCTCAAAGGATCATCAACGTCTTCAATTCATAGCAACATGTGGTTTTTCTCCCCCTGGCACTTTAACTAGTCCTAAACAATACAGTTATAGAAAGTTACGAAGAAATTCATTTTCGTCTTTGTTACCCCGTATAGATCACCATTCAAATCCAAATACTGTTGATCTACGTGAAACAGCAAATTATAATTTGAATGACACTACCTGCTCAGAGTTATTACCAACTACCGAATTCAAGTCAAATCTATATCGTTCCAATTCTCAACAATCCCTGATCTTTTATCAATAATTATTCCTCCGAATAATTCAAACAATAATCATAGTAACAATGGTAATAATAATTCTGAACATGTTGAAATATCAAAGAACTTTAATCATGTTCATAAGGACCATGGTCTGGTGTATGGTATCCATGTTCATTTCGATGAAAAACTCCCTAACATTCATAGAGACGATAATAATACTGATGGACTGGAATGGGATGATTTGGGTGATTTACAAAGTAAGTTTACTATTTGTAAAAAAGCTTACGTATCTTTTTCTGTACGTGTCTATTTTTTGCTAATAATCTGAGAATTAAGCCCCTAGAGTAATGTTTCGATGGAAGCAAACCAATTTAAAGTCTTGATAACGATAACTTTTATTTTTAAAATCACAACTGTCATTTGTTTCGATTGTTTAAGCAGCAGTATTTGAGGTTACCAAAATCATGTTTTTTCTTATTTTGACATTCGACTATTAAATTTGGATTATGTTAGTTTACTGCCTGTTTTCCCGAAAACCACAAAACTAATATTGGTAAAATGTTGACCATGGAAGGTAACGTACCACTCTCTTCTGGTTCATTTTTCCAGTTATTAAGTTTTATACTAAATTACTCGCTCAACTTTTATACTTTGAATTAACTGTTTCTAACTAATTTAATTCCGTCTTTCAAACTTCATCTTGGAGTTATCTGTAGCTATTTAAAGTTTGCGCTTCAAGTGTTACTTTCATGAAATATTTATTTCATAGCATTTCTAACATATGCTTTGCCTTGTGAAGAAACTACATTTTCTCTTTTTTTTCTGGAAATAGTTTACACGAACTATATAACACTGTTCTTTCAGACAGAATGAGCCTCGATCAAATAAACTACAATCACATTCTCTTGTAGTTAAAAAATCGTGTAGGTAACCAATTATTTTCTGTTGGTAAACTCATTAAATTGCCAGTTGAAGTTTACATTTCAAATATCTAATTTTAAACTGACTACTATACTTACTGATGGAAAATGCTAGTAGACGGCCTATGCCCCTCCACGAGGGGTTATAGACGTAAGTAAGTACTATACTTATCAAGTTCCGCAGTTATTTGATCTAAAAAACTTATTTACCATGATTTTGGTTCATTGTCACCTTCATATCTAAAATGAATTGTATAAATAATCCCTCTTTCATTTATGAATAATGTGTTTAAAGTACTTGTTTCTAAATAAATATTAAACAAAATAAGAACCCAGAACGTAAAAATGTCTAACTTCTGGTATCCGCTTAGATGAAGCACTTGACTGTTTTGAGTTGTATAGTGAAGCAATTAAAATTCGTTCAATGATTGCTAGATCTCATACTATCCCAACGTACATTGTTAAAGTGTAGAATTCACGCATAACAAGTTCACTCAATCTTTGAAGTTTTTGATGATGAAAATTTATCAAGTTTTTATTTAGGGTTCACATGATATTGGGAGTTCATGGTTAAGCTCTCCAATTGACCTATGTTTATCTCTTCCTAGGACAAATTTTTACTACATACCCCATCATTTTGTATCACTCGAAATTTGTCACTTTATTGATAATTAGTAACTAGTTCTTATTTCCCGTTAAAGTTGCAAAGTCTGATTCCCCATCACTGTTGCCAAGTAATGAATCAGCCGACACATTGAATGGATCTATTCTTCCCTGCTCGCCACTTACCCTTGCTGCTGAGGCATTAGTTTCTCCTCGTTTTCAGTTAACTGAATCCAACGTTCAGCATCTCAGTCAAATTGTTAACTCACAACAAAAATCTCACGCAGAGGTAGGTTTACCACTTTTCATTGTAATATTTATATATCGATTGAATGATAATTGAACCAGCTTATCACTTACCACTTGTCTACTGGCTTGTTCTCAACCGTCAACCGACTCACATATCGTCTGTCGTACCCTAAGATATTCGATTATTAGTTATTCGCTCTTTTTAAGTGTTTCTTAGGACCCGAGACTACAAAATATTTGTAGTCAAAACTGTCGGCTCATTATATTAATACAAGAACAGTGGAAAAAGCATTATTCTTTAGCCTGAAAACCGCTGACTTGTGTTTGTTTTTTTTCTGAAAATTTACTTAGTCAGTAGCAATTAACAGCGATTAATAGCATCTCTAGTGTCACAGTTACGAATCTACAGAGAATGGGCATTGTCGTTGATAATTATCCTTGATTAGTCCTACTACGCACGACAGAATATTACATTTCTTGTCGTTTTACTTCAAATATCTAGCACCAATCCTGTATTCTAAAGTTGGGAGGTAGCTTGGTTCAGAATGAATATTATTGTCCTTAAATAGTTTCACTTTCCACAAATGTATCATTCTTATTCTTCGACACAACTTTATCTGCATTTTTTATTGAAATTCCAGGTCTCTTCACATCCCTCACATCATTCAGAAATTTCCATACTAATAAACAATTTATCTGTCAGTCAAAATAATTCTTATTCTCCAGAATCAGTGAAATCCTGGGAACAAACTATTGAGGTACAGAAGTGCGATTCGTCTTGTGCTAATATTGATTTTCTTGAATTGCATACACCTGCACATCCTGATACAATAGTAAATAATGTTAGTTTATTAACTTAACGTGCAGTTTTTGCATCCCTTCAAATTTTTATCTATTTTAATTACGCTTTAGTAAATCACAGATGACGTGAAGATGTTATAATTAGGTTATCACACCATAAATTTTCGTACTGAAGGTAATTAGAAATAATTTGGTCCATATTATCAAAGTGATGTTTGTCGCCATACTTTTTAGCTTATGAATAAAGATTACATATAATTGCCTACATGACGTTGTGTTCGAAGATAGTTGAGTTGGTCATTTTAGTTGATCTGTCGGAAAGGTCATTTTGAGTTTGCAATGGTTTTTATTTTCTGTAGGATAATTTTATATCATAGTTGAAAGCTTAAGGACGAAGTTCCGTGATCTGCGAAACTGATTACTTGTAACAAAATATTTGTTTCTCTTGGTAGTGGCTATTTAAATTTCTTTACTGTTGTCAATAATAAGTTGATTTTTTTGTTAAATGTTGATGTGTTTTCACTGTAGTTATGATTCATTTCTTACTATCTATAAAGTAAATAATACTCAATGAAATAGTTTTAGCTGGCATCCACCACAGCTTCTAAAGTGTCTTGATTTTAATGATAAAATGTGTAAAATCTACTGTAGTAATTAGTTTCTCTTCAAGTGTAATGAAGTGTTTTTTAAGAGCTGTCATTGACATGTAAGTTTAAATCTTTCATATTGTGTTTAGGACAAATATACTTTCGTTTCATCATGTTTATTTCTCTTAATATTCGATTCTCAATATATATACAAATATACTACTAGTTAACGATAGCTGTTATCATCGAAATGGTTTAGTTGTGTACAACATCCTACAATTATCTCTTAAACCTTCGGTGTCACTATGTTTTCATCTTGGGTGATTATCTGATAGTAAGCTGTATAGACATTAAATGATTTTCTAAAATTATATAGTCTACTACTTTTAAAAGAGTTTTATAAAGATATGTGATTATAGGGTTTTTGTAATAAAGTTTTCGATATTTTTACAGAACGAAGCATTTCGTTACAATCGGGGCAACAATAATCATACTAAATTAGGAGCTGCTTCTGGTATGTTTCCATGTAATGTGTTTGATAAATGAACAAAATTCAACCTTTGTTATAATGTGTCTTTACAACTAATTCAGTCAGATAATTGAAATGCAATTACTCATTCTGTAGTTTCCAATAACACAGAAGGCTAATAAGTAGTGTGAAAAGCCACTAAATATCTAGATGCTCACTTATTTTTGTTATATTGTGCAGATATTTGTCAGCTTGAAATCCCAGCACAAAAGAACATCATCAGCAGTCAAACATGAATGAAAAGGAATAAAATCATATAATTTTCGAGACCTAAATGAGAAATGTACAGTAGATTTATTTGCTAAAATTGTTACTAATTTTGTGGTTCAGCCCTTAGATGATAATTAGACCTATTTGACAAATCTTATTTATTTTGGTTGCTTTTTATGTTAATCGTTTTGTCAACTGATTCACTAAATATTCCGAAAACTGCATCTCACATCAGGATTACTCTTACGTGAGCATTAATCATTAGACATCTGTGATAGCATTCTTGTAATTTACACGAATTCGATACCTTCAAATAAAATATTTTAGTCCTTTAAGTAAGGTGGAAAAAAAATTAAATGAACTACTGTAAGATATACTTGCCTTTTGTTGATCGGAAGGACAACTCGTTTGCGTTATACTGAGTTTATGATTTCGAAAGGTCAACGGAACCTGTTCTATGAGATTTCATTTGTGATTCACTTAACATAGAGAATGACATCGGCTAGTAGTACATCTGTGGTTGCTGTGTGATCACCGGCAATTTTAACCATCACGTGCTCTCATTCCTTTTTTGTGAAAAAGACTAACTAGCTTGTAAAACACTTGTTACTCATCATTTTCAGTCATGGATTTGCCCGATAGTTCGTTGGTAAAGGAAGCTGACATTCTCCCTCTTTTAACGTCAATACGTCGGGACGCGTTTCCACTTATTAAACTATTATTACGTTTAGAAGAAAAATCTGTGACTGGACTTTTGGATTCGGATCTGCAAGTTAATGAAAATCCATGCTCACAAAAATTGGAGGACGAACGTCGACAACTGGATATTGATAAAAGTTATCTCACGGTATCACTTTATGTTTTAATTACTGGTTTATTTTGTTATTATCCATTAATATATGTCGGTTGTAGATATACGATTAGTCTATAAACCTATGTGCGCTGTGACTGTATAAATGGTGAATAAATAAAACTTCTAGAAGATACTTCTATTTTCATCGACTTAATATTTAAATAGAAAGAGGAAAAACGAAGTAATAAACTTCTGTTTTATCATGCACCTGTAGATTACCAAAGGATAAAGCGTTTGTCCGAATTTGAACCGTGCTCCATTCACTTCTATTTTTTATCTTCATGTAGTATCACCAGCCCTCGTACCTAATATACGGCTCACCACCTAGTACACAAATGGAGTTTCTTTACATAAATTGATTAAAAACAGATTTTTTAACTATTCTTAAAGGCAAGAACACTTAAAATATGTTCTATTCATCCTGAGGTATTTTTGTCTTTATTTTTTGCCATAAATTATAATACCCTTCATGCCGTGTTAAAATCACTCATTTCAAGGATTGCTATTTTTTCCTGTAATCCTTTTTGACCTCATCTGAACTATTATAGAAAATCAGTACCTTTTGTTTTCCTTTAATTTTACATTCACTACCAGTCGTTATTGTAAACAAATTTAGAGTTTATTTATACCCTATTTGTGTTTTTTGGATAAGTTCAGTTCATTTAGTAATAGATAGGTTATGTGAAACAATGCATTTCTTTCTTTCTTTTTTATTCTTATTTTTGCTGTCTTCGTAGCTTCGATTCACCTATCATTGTTTAGTGTCTATAACTACGAAAAATACTCAAAATGTCTTATCACTGTTTTCTTTGTTAATCAACTGAACTACATATAAGATGACTCAATGTGTGTCCAGTATTTGATCGGAGTAAATATATCGTTGTATCAATTTCGCAAATTACTTTAGCTCAACACTCTTAAATGATGTCCAACAACTATGTCGTTGTTTCCGATATTATGTTAATTTTATACATAAAAGTTTTATTTCCTGTTTATTTATATAGCATTATGGTAAACGTCTTACTCAGTGGACTAATACTATGGATAAGTTATTGGATTCTTTTCGACCTGAGGAAGCAGACTATAAGACACAATCACAAACTTCATTATCAATCGCTTTAAATACATTTGGTGATTGGTTATTAGCTCTTAAGGCAAGGTAAGATGCACATACATTGTAAGGAGTATTGATTATTTTCACTTCTGGATAACTAAAATCAATTCGTAATAGGTATCTGTGTGCTTCAGTCTAGTTTCTCCTAGTGTTATATGTTAAAGCATTTCTTTTTATACGTAGTTTTAGGATCCAGGATATCATTGATGTTCAAAATTTTGTTATATTATTTTTTTATATTTAGTTAATTGACCAATGATTCTGTCTTATGCTTACAAAGATTTAAAACTTGTTCGTTTGAGCTGATTATCTATTTAACCACTTCAGTCAAATTGTCGGATATTTTATCAATCCATTGTTCCTTCATAACACTAAGTCACTAAATTGATGTCTATAGTCATTCTGGTCGGTTAGTCACTACTGTTTGGAATGATTTATCGATTTTCATTACATAGCATGTATATTTTTTGGATGGTTTAAAATGAATAATTATTAGCGTAAACGCATTCATGGCTTGTGTACTTCTGTATATTAAGTGTGTGATTTCACATAGGTAAGAGAAAAATTATAAAATCAATTTCTGTCTGGTTTAACATCATCTTAAAACATTCTCTCACCTAGTCGTTTTCGGTCCTCTTCATTTTCATTTTCATTTGTGTATTTTGTTTTCAAATAACTTTTTCTCATTGATTTGGTCTTGTGGCTGTTTTGGGGTCCGGTTTTTGACAGATTCGTAAATACATATCAAAGGTTTCTCGTTTTTAGATTGTCCTAATTACATATGCGCTATTTTTCTTGACCATCACTTTTCAGTAAAATATACCTTTATGATCAGACCCGTTTGTTGAAGGTATCTGACCCTAAATATTATGTTTTTAAAGTAATATTTTGCATGTAAAACCTTAAAATAAAGTTTAATTTCTGGCATAAGGTAAAAAGCACATTCTTTAGGAGAAGCATAACATCAAAACTATATGTTATGTGTATAGATCTCATAGTATACATTACGTAACATTTTTTTCAGGAACAATTTATTCTAAAACATATATGTATGATGCTTATTATCACTTGGCAAACGGTCATTAAACTCAATAGGAAATAAGTAATCCACAACTGATAATTACTAAGTGAACTGATGATTATTTGAATCTTCAGTTTCAAGCGTGATTCCCTTGAGCTTTTGTCAGTTGAAACTACAAGTAGATCTAACTGATTGTCCTTCTGGTTATTAAAAGGTAAATATACTTCATATTAGTCTGCTCCGTTTGAGTTAATTTAATTAATTATATAAAATTTTCCAAGTATAAACGGTTAAGTAGTAAACTTATCATCTAGGTAAGTATATATTTGTAAGATGTATCTAACCATAGTCCACCTATGTGTGCTGTGCTTCCAAATGTGAAGACTAGTTTTGAAAATATTTAAATTGGTCAGATCAAAATTTGTAACTTGTTCATGTAGTCGGTTGATCTTGGTGTTGCAGACCTTCCTGGTGCCATCTCTGAGGTAACTATAGTTTATGCTTAAAGACCTTTAGTGATATATTTCTGCATCGGCTACAGTTATTTAGATACATTCTCTTAATTTTTTCTTAAAATTCCATTTAATATGAACCCAAACTTTTCATTAATTTCTATTAATATTTATCACCCATCTTATTGATATCAACTATGACAGCAGTGAACTGATACGTTGTTTCTATCCTCCTGTTTTTGGAGGATAAAGTGTGTTCACTCATTATTTTTGTTTTCGTTTCATTCAACTCAATGTATATCGTGTAGGAACTTTCGATCCTGTGGAAAACATATGGTCTTGAATGGAAAATAAGTACTCTGATCCAGTACATAGTAATGGAGTACCTGATTAATCACTTATGGTTGGTAACTTTAAATAAGTTTTCATAAAATTATTTGACTGTAGAATCTTAATTTCTGATTTTACATTCTTACAAGTAGTAAATTTACCTGTATCTGTATATTCATTTACATAGTTATGGTTATTTTTCTGCGGTATTTCTTTTTTTTGTAGACATACTATGGCTTTTGGGTTGTAAATTGGCGTTCATCTATGTTTGATCATTTGGTAGGAGAAAGCTATGACGCGAATGTATCGTTGTTGGGCATGAAACAACGTGTTCAGACAGCAATTCATAGAGCGCAGGCGGTATTGAAACCACTTCTACAGTCTTATGATGAGTTTACGTCATTTACTGATAATATTGACCACTGCTTAAATGAAATACATTCTGATCTTAGTGTAATTTCAACCTATTCATCCAACGAGTTCGTAAACACTTTAGAAGAACTACGTGTAAGTAGTGTGTTTGATTCTCTTTATTTTTAATGGCACTGGTGGTTTGTTATTCGGTAACTTGCTGTTGATAAAGGGCTATTACTAAATAAAACCATAATAAACTGAAAGTTCCGTTAACTAGCTTGATGCATTAACTCGTCTTGTCAATGAAACACACTTCTACCCATCATATCTCTGAAAATGTATGGAAAAGGAATAAAATGACAGAAAAGTATGAAATTAACAATGAGTGGGACTAAGAAAATCAATATCTCACGATCTTTCAGATAGATAACTACTTTTCTACATTTTATTCTACATTTTTAGAATTTACTAGTAGTAAGTAAGTAGTAAGTAATAGAATCATAGTTTTAAAGTATATCGATTGTATACCTTTATCCGTTGATTCACTTAAAAAAAACTGCCATTTATTATTCAATTAAGTATTCAATTACATCCGTATGTATTTTAAGGTCTCTTCATAAGTTGCTCAAGGATAATTTTTTTCAAAAGCCTGATTCATATGTTTGGATGTCAATAATGTCCATCCATATTTTATTGAGATGTCTTGACCATTTATTAAATTAATATTACTAATTGTTATAATTCTCTCTTACGGTTATAACCCAGCTATTCCTATTGCTTAGTATTCTTGGACACCAAATCACCCGATAAGTCCCCAAATCAGAACACCGTTGAACAGGGAAGAGATTATATTCCAAATAACAAGGTTAGATGGAAGTAAGAAGCAAGTAAGAAATGCAATAGGGAAAACGTTAGTATATTTATAGATTCGTAGGATCTGGTGTGTCGAGGACGTTTACGTTTCTTGGGCTGAGGCGTACGATTCGGTGGACAATGACCTTCTTTATGTCCACGTTTGTTGCACATCTGACATTTATGCTTCTTAAATGGACAGAATCGTACATAATGCCAATCACCACATAACCGATATTCAGTCGTTGGTTTGTTACGAGTTGTTATCGGCTTCTGAACTTTTAACATAGTAATAGCATTGACACTACTACATGTTATTATTAGGCTTTGCCTGTTCAATCAACTCGTTGTCGTGTCTGATGCTTTGTAGCCGCTTACACTCATTTGTCAATGTTCTGAGTGTGACGTTTGGGTCTTGATCCAATCGAGCCAAAAGTCTAGTCCTGATCTCAGCATCTTGTGGTGACTAAAGAGCTTTGATGAATATTAAGTATTTAAATTGGTCTTCTGTCAACGAGCGTAACTTGAACCGTTCACATTCTCTGTTGACGATGTCTGCTAGAACATTATATTCATCAGCTTCGCGTTTCACCAAATTTGGACACCGATATCGAATACTAAACAATGAGGATGACTCACCGAATATCTCTGACAATTGAATTACCGTCTCCTCGAAACTGAGCTGTGAGGTAACTTTGGCAATATATGGTCAGTATAACGTGCATGTTCATTGCTTCCCAACTTACGTACCAACAATCGAGTCTTCAACGCGTCGTCTAAATGTATCTTCCCAACGTTTGAACCACGTGAGAAAAGTATTTCCACTTTCGGGATCATAGATGAATTCTGGGATGCTGCTAGCAACTGCATCACAAGACGTACTTGAAACAGCATATGAACTCGAACAGTGGATGTTAAGCTGTTGAGTCAGAGTCTCCAACAACCGCATTTGTGCATCAAGTTGTGCTTGCTGTTGTTGTAGAATTCGGCTAATCTGGTCATCTGATATGGGCATCTTGATTTTTTTTCCTCGTCGGTCAGTGACTTCAAATAAAGCCAGAACAACTATTGATGCACAATAATATGAATTCATTATATTTCGTGGTTTCTCCGCAGATCCTTACAACCAAATATGTATTACAACTTTACATTATGATATGAAATAGTATGGAGCAATTGACATAGGTGAATGTAAGGGATTGGAATGACAAAGGTTATCAATGATAACTATATATATATATATATATATATATATATATATATATATATATATATATATGCAATAACAGGTCAGAGGTCAGTGACTTCATGATCTGATGTCATTTCCTAATTTTCCTAACTCTATTTCTGTCTTACTCTCATGTCCGTCGACATTGAACTTGAGGGTGGGTTGTCGGCCAAACCAAATCATGGCACAAATCCATGAAGTCATTGACAAGTGGACTGAGCCATGTTGGTAGGTGTAGACTTCCTGGTTGAGATCCGCGAAATGATAGCAATCGATGGTTAGAGACCTTGAATGACATGGTTCAAAATCGTTTACAATGGCGCAGGTGCATCCACTCTTTGTGTTCTCCTGAATTCTTCATGTTTCTTTTTTCTCTTTCCAGATTTATTTCACTGTATTATACTCCTTGAATAACATCTTCAAACCCTAATATTTCCGATTACTACTTATACTTTTACTATCTCTACTGCTATGGGATTTGAATCGACAATTGTACCTTTGTGCTAATGTGGTACGGCTACTCGAACTGATGTGCGTACGTAAGAAGTTCTACGTTGTTGACTGGCAGATTGTAGGTTGTCTTCAGGGATTTATAACATATTCTAACTACCTCCGATAATAAAAGTTATGACCTTATCATCGGACCTGCCTTTTTCTTACCTGGTATCTTCCAGGTAACTTCGATATTGCTAAATCGGCTCATCATGTACAGGCATTGCTTTTATACTGTTTATGATCATTTACTTGAAACTCAATTATGTCTTCTACCAGCACACAAGAATACAGGGCAAATATCTGTTCTTCTTCTTAATTGGAACATGGATATCTCCCCTACACCAAATGTGGCACAAATTAGAAAATACTAAACGGTCTTTCGGTATACCTGCTGAGGTTTCGTCAGTCATCAACTCACCGCGGTTGTCTATAATTCTAACATTTAATACTTTGAATATACGTAAACAAACCTGACCACAATATTCTCAAAATAAGCATTAATAAATATCCACTGTTACATGGTTTAGATTGATTCCATCTCTCTAGTTATTTAGTGACAAATAACTTTTTTAGCCTAACATACTTGTCGTAATAAAAGACTAAATGACTAAAATTTACTTTGAGTTCTTCTTAGAACTTGTTTAGATTTTGTGTTATTTGGAATAGTCACTTCGTTACACTGAATATGAATTTTGGTAGCGAATGATAATTCACATTTGGCGTTGCTAGTTTCCTTTCTCACCTAATATAATTTACAAATTTATACTTCTTTTTTAGGATTTAAATGAAAATCTATGGACTATCCAGTCACGTTTGGGTTCATGTTACTTATTCAATGACTTCTGGAAATTTTCCTGTAAATCAAACATTCTTGTACAACATGATATTCATGATCATCATAGTAAAGAATTGGATGTCAATATATCAAAATGCTCCATTACCAATTTAATTCATTTTTCTTGTGAACTTCGTCAGAAAATTCTAACTATGATTCGTGATTTAGAATCGGCAATAATTAACAAATCAAATGCAATTATAGTTAAAACAAAACACTTGTCAATTTACCATGCAAAACAACACTTAATTGATTCAACTATTCCTTTTATTGTAGAAAAAGACAAAGAAGTGATTGACAGTATGATCTCATCAAATGACTCGATACAGTTGGACAACTATTATCTCGATACTGCAGCTGGTCATTTACGCTCACGTTCTTTTCACGGTTCACTGTATTACACACTTTTCTCACAAACTTATTCTAATATTTTACCACATTTTATATTCAGTATCGATAAATGGTCATTCGGAAGATGCTTCTTAATCTTCTTACTTATTTTTATTGTATTTATTCTATTTGAATCGTTCTTTGGTGAACGTTCCATAATTTCGCTAAAGTCTCTTGGTAATGGTTGTCATAGTGATGGTCCGGTCGTTGAACTAAGCACAAATCATTTAGTGAAATTCTTTACCTGTTTTCAACTTCCCAATTCAAACAATGTGGTTTGGTAATTCCTTATTCACACTTTTATGAATTTGTATGTTTTGATTACGATCATGGCTATAAATGTTAAAGTCATTTGTCTACTGGACTCTAAGTCTAATGCGTCTGCGATCATATGAACTAGATTTCTTTCTACTTTTATTATGTTTGTTTGTACATTTACCATATCACGAATTTGTTTTGTATAGTTGTAGTTTTCTTTCTTAATATTTTCTTTCATCCCGTATAATTATTAGCTGGATTAAAAAGCTTTTATTTCCTGATGATGATAGTATTTTTCCCCATAATATTGTATGACGTTCCGCCCTCAATGTAATTTGGAGCGCTGTGACTTCGGTTGCGTTTTAACAGTGTCTACTGATAACTAACGATGGGATCAAGCATTTTGATCTTTTGGATACTCATCATTTTAATTTTTACATATCTCAGTAAAAATTGGTACTTTCATAAGTTAAACGACATGTGTGTCTCTTCTGAGATTTTAAAAATTTCCTCATATACATCACTTCAATTTTCGATTTCATTCGTTCTAGCAGTTGATTGGTGTGCTGCATGCTTGGATTTAGCTTGGAATATAGAATTTCATGAAAGGTTTGGTATCACTGAAATCCGTTATTTATCGGAGCATGTCAACTATGCATTAAACGTTAAATTATTCTGTCAATATTTAAATGAATTATTATCGATGCATAACTTAATTGCTTTTGTATACTTCAGTTACGCGATTCTTTTTCTTTTAAACAAATCGGAAGTAAGCAATAAATAATTCAAGGGGTTTAATTGAGTTGAATATTCTACTCATTGTTATACATATATACTGAGCGAGTACTAAACAAATGAAACTTAAAGCATGTCTAATTAATTTATGGCAAAATTTAACCAACTGAACTTAAACGATTAAGTAATTCCTTCTCTTATCCTTCCTAATAAATGTTGATAATTGTGGCTCCCTTCAAATATTAAGTTATTAACAGAAATTTCGGATTAGACCAGTGCACGAAAATTCATGTCGTTTTTTAAGGACTTTCTTAGTCTTCTTCTGGGATATCCATTCCTAAAAGTATTGAGTAATGTTATTCAACAGACAAATTTGGTCATGGTATTGTATGGAGTACATCAGTTAAAATTGTTATATTTCTCAGTAGTGTACAAACATCTACTGTTTCGGGGCGGATTATGTTTAAATGACTGGAAACCAACAGGCTATATGATTTCATGAACTGCTAATATATCCAGGTCTAGTCATTCTTAACTTTCCTCCAACTTTTTGTTTAAAGCTATGGTAAGCTTTGACACAATATATGCTATAGAACAGCCATCTTGTCTAAGACATTTTAATCTTATGGCCATTTAATCACTAGATCCACTAAACGTAAACAACGTTTCAAAATATCGATAACACATTCTTTGAGGATTTCAAGTATTATCTGTGTTGTATGAATATATTTGAATCCCAATACATCCATAACTGGTGATCATACTAAATCCAAAAACGGAATCTATCGAGTTATTCAAACCCCTCCTGTTAATGATATTAGTACATGATGATGGTCGCCTTCGAATTCTTCCGGTTTAAAATATCACTAGTTTTCCCATCCATAATAATTACCAATAATATGTCTCATCAAATGAATTAAGAAGCAAATACCCATGTACATAAAATGTTAAAGCCTTCGAATCGTATTAGCTAAGGGGGGGGGTCGATAAGGGACTTCGTTACATTCAATCACATCTTGTTTTCACAGGAAAAATGAGTGACCAAAAGGGAATAAGATTCGCATGATAAGATGAATTTATTGTTTGGTTTGTCACCAGTTTTGTGTACCGCGAATTTATAATCATTAAGACTGAAATACCAACTGTCAACCAATGATCGAAGAAAGGTAGTGATACTCTAAATGATGATGATTACAACAAAATTCCTAAACTCTATTTGGTTAGAAGGAAATGGCTGAGGTAATTATGAATCATAATAAAGAAATACAAGTGTTTTCGATGATTCGTGTAACATTAACTTACGGTATTACCACTAATGAAACAGTTGGAAAATAAGTGCACCGAATAGAAACCCAACAGTTACGAGAACTAAATAAAACTGCTCATATTTTTCTTTTGTAGGCATTTTATTTCTGATTGCTTTATATAGAATAAAACACATTGTGATACCCAACAGATGTAGATTATTCGATTTACTTACTCACGCCTGTTACCTCTCGTGGAGGAGCATCGACCACCCACCAGCATTCTACGTCCAGACGCAGTGTTCTTTAGCTTTCCTCCCTTCCATTTCCCTTCACGATTCCAATTTAGCGCTTGCTTTGTGATGCCGTTTGATGATTTCCACAATGTATGTGATATCCACTTCCAGTGTCTTTTCCTAATTTCCTCTTTAACTGGAAGCTGGGTTATTCTCTCCCACAGTAGGCTGCTGTTGATGATATCCAGTCAACGGACATTGAGTACCTTGGGTGGAAAATTGTTTATAAATGCTTGTACCTTTTTGATGATGGTTGTCTTAGTTCTTCGAGTTTCAGCTCCGTACAGTAGAACTGTACAGAGCTTACCTTCAATAAAATAGTGGTTAAACTTTATTACCTATAAATAACCAACCAGATTAGCAACTTTGAGTTCTTTGCATAAGCTTCAAAATGTAGTGCGAATCATCATTTACTCCTTGAATAGATTCCTTAAAGTTACTTTTAATTAGAACTGAAAACCGCTCAGTTTGGATAAGAAAAAGTTTATTTTATCACATGGTGAAAACGTCAGTCACGTCGCATAAACAGTCTTATGGTGTAGATCTCAGAAACATTTTATTAAGGACTTGTTTCTTTGTTTTTGGAAGTCTGATCAGCCCTAATGGTTTGGTGTCTGAAGAAATCTCTGCACGGATTCGAAAAGCTCGTTTGGCTTTTGCTAACTTACGTCACCTATGGCGAAGGCGAGATATCCGTCTATCAATTAAGGGACGAGTATACTGCTCGGCAGTTCGTTCTCTTCTACTTTACGGCTGCGAAACGTGGTCATTAAGAGTAGAAGATACTCGTAAGTTATTAGTATTTGATAGCAGATGTCCTAGGAATATTGGCAGCATCTTCTGGGATCATCGGGTAAGTAATAGAGAGGTTAGGCGCACTGTATTAGGAAATGATGGTATGTCAGTCGATGAGATTGTGAATCTTCATCAACTGAGATGGTTGTGTTACGTGTACCTGAGCGCCGATTACCACGACATACAATGCTGACTGCTGTTGGGGGTGGTTGGAAAAAAGTTAGGGGTGGCCAAACCAAAACGTGCTTGAAGTCACTAACTTTTGATCTGAGCCATGTTGGTGGATTCAGAATACTTCAGTTGGCGTCTGCGTGACTATCGTAACCAATGGTTGGAGACTCTTGGTGACATGGCTCAGAATCGACCACAATGGCGTAGATGTATATACTCCCTGTCTTTCCTTAAACCGTGAGACTGAAATTACTTCATACCTTTCTTTCTCCCTGTATCATATCCTTATATGTAGTCCTTTTTATATGTTACTACCTTTGAAGTGACTGCTTCTATGAATTTCGTGTTCATCTTGTTGTGCTAATAAGGTATGGCAACTTGGACCAATGAATATATTTGCCTGGTCCTATGTTGTAGCTGACTGACTTTGTTCAAAGTGAACTCACAAAGAAATATTATAGTGAATATAAGTGTATCGTATAAATTGCTGTTTCGGTACCCCGTTGTTGATTCTAAGTGGTTTACTAGCTTCATTGGTCTATGAGAATATATGAACGTTGTTGATTTCTTGTACGTTCGGAGTTAGATCTCCTTCACAGATATTTTTTACTTAGATTTTTCGAAGAAAAATAATTTTGAATTGTAGAAAATCGCTTATAAACTTCGGAATATCATATGCAAGTTACAACCACCATTTACTCTTTGATTTTATTACCTTTTCAACAACGGAAGCTCAATTTTGATGTTTATTTATTCACGGGCTAATAAAGCGGATGGATTAAAGCGCAAAATCGCGCATGGAGGACAGTTGACAGACTCGTTCAAGGTAAAGACTGGTGTCAGGCAAGGTTGCTTACTCTCACCCTTCCTCTTTCTTTTCGTGACCGACTGGATCATGAAGACGTCAACATCTGGCGGTAGCATGAGATACAGTGGACAACTAGGATGCAACTGGACGATCTAGACTTCACAGATGATCTGGCCCTTCTATCCCAAACGCAATAACAAATGCAGGAGAAGACGACCAGTAAAGCAGCAGCCTCTGCGACAGTAGGTCTCAATATACACAAGAGGAAAAGCAAGATTCTCCGATACAACACAGCATGCAACAATCCAATCACAATTGACGGAGAAGATTTGGAAGATGTAAGGTCCTTTACATATTTGGACAGCATCATTGATGAACATGGTGGATCTGATACAGATGTGAAGGCGCGGATCGGCAACGCAAGAACAGAAACTGAAGGACATCTGGAACTCAAAACAACTGTCAACCAACACCAAGGTCAGGATTTTCAATACAAATGTCAAAACAGTTCCACTGTATGGGGCGGAAACCTGGAGAACTACGAAAGCCATCATCCAGAAGATACAGGTGTTTATTAACAGTTGTCTACGCAAAATACTTTGGATCCGTTGGCCGGACACTATTAGCAACAACCAACTGTGGAAGAGAACAAACCAGATCCCAGTGGAGGAAGAAATCAGGAAGAAGCGCTGGAAGTGGATAGGACACACATTGAGGAAAGCACCGAACTGCGTCACAAGACAAGCGCCCAAACGGAATCCTCAAGGCCAAAGGAGAAGTGGAACACCAAAGAACACATTATGCTGAGAAATGGAGACAGACATGAGATAAATGGACAAAAATTGTACAGGAGTGGAAAGGAAGGCCCAGGACAGAGTGGTTTGGAGAATGGTGGTCGGTGGCCTATGCTTCATTGGGAGTAACAGGCGTAAGTAAGTGAGTAATAAAGCAGATAAACGGCTTCAACGGAGTCTTTC